AATATTTAAAGAATATTTATTTTTTTACATTTTCTTTTATAAATATTTACCATTAATTGACTAATGAAAATTGAGATAATATGTTCTAAAGTTTGTTCACACTTATCAAAAATAATATATTAGTAACTTCTTAGGGCTTCTTGCGGATTTTATATTGCGGTTTTCTTTAAATTTTTCTGAATTAGCCCATTTATTTTTTGCTTGTTATATATTGTTATATATTAGCTATGTATTTGTTGATTTTTGAACATTTTTTTGCAGCTTTGAACTATTAATTTTTTATTATGTCATTTAGGTGGGTACTTATTTTGCTAACATATATTTTTTTCAGGTAAAACAGGTAACTCTTTAAAATGCTTTTATTTACTAATAACCACTTTTTTACAACTTTGATTTATTGTTTATGTTGCAGGATCAACTTTTTCCCTCTCTGGGGTTGTCATCACTTTGTCGCTAGTGAGAGGTTTTGAATCTAAAACTAACGTGACCCAGATTGGGCGGCAGCAAACATGGCCACTTCTCCATGTTGGGAGCGGCTGATCTAAGCATTCGCCAACACGATCCAAATTGATTGGTAAATATTTAAAAAAAACACATAGCGACAACATGCTGATCAGGAAATTAACAGTTTTAAGTCGTCATTACGTACAGTTTAAATTAAACAATTACACGGAGCGATAGGGAGCTCTTCGCAAAGCAGTTTGCTAAATAATGCCATGTTACTAAATAAGCAAGAAATTTAAGTTCTTGCCTACATGAGAGCACACATAATGTAACACTTATTACAAACAAATAATATATATACTTTTTGCGGAAAATAAATTTATAAAAATTAGCAAGCAAAAACCCGTTGTAAAGCATTTTGTAATTATAACGAAGCTTTATTAAAAAATAGTGGAATGTGACCAAGACTAAGAGCCTTTTCACACAGGCCACTCTGCAGCGCTTCTTAGTGGCGCTGCTGATAGGCGCACTTTAGTAGCGTACCAGCCACTCTGCAGAGCTTCTCGGTGGCACTGCTGAGAAGCTCACGTTAACCTGAAGCAGACTGAAATGGCTCGTGTGAACGCCAGCATTTGAACCAATGTATCGCTATCAGCGGCGCTTCTTTTTAAAGCGCTTCTCGACGGTAGTCCAACACTGAACGCCACAGAAGCGCTGCTAAATCGGTGGTCCCGCCTTGGTCGCGGCCGTGTGAATGGCTCATGGAAATCAATGTACCTTCAAAACGCGCTTCTCAGCAGCGCTGCAAAGTGGCCCGTGTGAAACGGCTCTTAATCACATTCAGCAGACAGCGAAATAGCACGACACGCCCAACACTGCAGTGAGCACCATAAGACGTCACGCACATCGAAGCAATATCCTACCCTGTATTCATTGTATCATGGGTGGCTAGTCTGTAACCTAACCACAGAACATACCTCTTCTGTGGACCTAACCACACTTATATAGCATGAAAACATTTTGCACAAACCTCTATTATTTGCATTAAATATGACTCTAAGACTAATAAAGGATGTTATGAACATCAGTGCCAGACTATGTCAGCCGCTCATAACTCAAAAACTGGCATTCCACAACACTCCAAGCGTTGCGGCCTGGGAACCGAATAAGACCGAGAGCGGCCCCACTCGTTGGTTGGAGAACAATAAAAAGATCTATCCCCCTCAAGAGCCCGGAGAAGAACCCCGGCCGGCTGTAAGTTCAGTGAAAAGCATCGTTTTAGCAGGGAATAATTTGAGGCTTTTCAGTTTGTATGCCATCAAAGAGAAAACATCAAGTACAGCCCCAAAAAGATGTGGTATATAGCCTGCCTCGTAAGGGGCATGTCGGTGGATGAAGCCATTAAACAGCTCAAATTTGTAACGAAAAAAGGGGCGAAGGATGTTCGGGAGGTGATTGAAGAGGCCAAGGCACTTGCAGTGCAGGAACACAATGTAGAGTTTGCCAGTAACTTGTGGGTTGGTAAGTAACGTAGTATTTTGTATCATTTCTATAAAACTTGCATTAAATGAATTACAACGTTGTTAACCATAAATGAAAATTACGCAATATACACTCGCTTTCAAAAGTCTTACACCCCCTAGTTATTTGGACATTAAAAAAAAAAGTAAAACCTTGCAGACCCCGGTGTTAAATATAAATTAAAAGCTTCTAAAAAACGGCAATTTGGATTTAATTTCAACGAATTATCAGTTGTAAAACGAAAATTACCGATTACCGGATACAGTCCGGGTGCAAAATAAAAAAAAAATTATTAAATTTCTAACGAACAAATGAAAATAAAAAATTCAACAGCAAAATTAATATTCAGTATTTGCGCATCTACTTCTTAACAACGCATTCACACGTCTAACCATTCCAATAATCAAATTATTGATTACTTCGTGAGGGATATTTTCCCATTCCGCTGTAGCAGCAACAATAAGTTCTTGGGCATTTCTTGGTGGATTATTCCGGTTGAAAATGGCTCTTGATACATAATCCCAGACGTGTCCGATGGGATTCATGTCATGTGACATAGCCGGCCAATCTAATCTTGTGATGTTTCGGTTTTCTAATACTACTTGAACAGCTCTGGTGCGAAGTGGCCTGGCATTGTCATCCATAAAGATGAACTGGTCCCCTAATTCATCACGTGGGGTTATAATTCTATGAATGACGACATGTGAATAAGTGGGGTCCTTCTATTGAACATAATACCCCCCAAAACATTTGTGTTCCATCGCGATATGGAGCAACTGCAACGGCTGTTTGAAGCCTATTTCAGCGTCCTGCTTCTCTCCAAACTCTTACTCGGTAATCATCGCTGACGAATCCAAACCGCGATTCATCGGTAAAGATGCACATTTCTCCACTCTACCAATCGCCATCGTTTTGATGATTTCGTGCCCATTGTAAACGGGCCCTTCGGTGGCGATGAGTTAACAAAGGAACTCTTAACGGCCTTCTGGACCGCAATCCTGATTGTAAAAGTTTTCTGCGGATAGTAGCACTAGCGGTTATACGTTCTCTGGAACTGAGATATTAGTGCCGGTAGGGTGACTGAGCGCTCTCTACGGGCTGATTGGGAAATATATAGCGATCTTCTCGTATCGTGGTAACGTGAGTAACAGCAGACCTCGAAGTGGGACGACCACTTCATCTCACCAGTCTCTTCATAGCGTTTAATTGTCCTGCTAACTGTGCTTCTAATAAAGTTCACCCTAGTGGAAATATTGTGCCAAGTAGAAATAAGAAGGTTTATCTACTTCTTGCCACAGAGCAATAATTCTAGTCCTATCAAAAGCTGACAACTCGTTTCTAGGTATGCTACACGAGTCTTGCACGATTCAGATACTAATGCCGGCTACTAGTGATCAATTTAAAGGTGCGATTTTTGCAGCATCACAATTTTAAAGGGGCGAACATTTTTTTTTGGAAATTCCATCAGTTACTTTACTGGTTAATGTTTTATTTACCAAAGAAAAAAAATTGTATAAATTAAACGTATGTAGTAAATACAGGGGGGGTGCAAGACTTTTGAAAGTGAGTGTAGATTTAAAACGTTCAAGTTGGTTTTCAGCTTCGGTTCTATAAACTGTACTTTCTTAGATTCTGTGTAATCTAGTCGTTTTGTTAAAGAATCCATTAATCATTTCTGTTCTAACTAGTTATTTAATTAGTATATTCTTGCGCAACCATATCTAATAATAATACCGATAAAAATTTAGAAGATGTTGAAAGTTTAATGCCAATTTAGTTTTATTGGATTGTTTAAGGGCACCATCAGTAGTAGGGCTCGGAATCAAACTCGAATAATTCGAGTATTCGAATATTCAAATAGCGAATAAGAATAATGATGTCTGTCTAGTCATAACTCGAATATTCGATTATTCGAATACTTACTCGAATAGTCGAATAATCGAATATTCGAATACTGGAAAAATCAAATAATCGAATACTCGAATAAACCAACATTATCAAACTCACAAGGTGCAAATATCTTTATATGCACTTTGTATACTTTTATAAAATAAATTATTCATATTCTACAAGCTACATTTCCTTATTTTATAAGGAATGCGTTCAATTATTTATTTTGTGTATTCGCATAAAATTGAGGCCTAAAGAAATTCGATGTACCACACATGCTATGATGCCATTTGAAAATTTAGAGGGGGTGGCTGTGAAAAATTCTGTATATTTACATGGTTTTTGATCATTACATTGAAATCATGTACTTACAATTTCTTCGCTAGTTGAATATTCTAATATTTGTTTAATACTCTACTCGATTATTCGAATTTCATATTTTAAAAAATTTGGAGCACTAGTCAGTAGCATTAATATTCGCCAACAAACTACTAATTTTAAAGAGGTAGTTAAGTTATTGATTTAGAGCCGCAACTACAATCCTTTATGTGGTCTACATTAAAAAAATGTTGGGCCAGCTGGAAGCGTACAAAAAATATACAAATATTTATCTTTTGCAGCGGAATCGTTTTCTGGTAAAGGCATGGTAATCAAAGGCTTACGTCGCCACGCCAGAGGCCGAAGAGGGTTGATCAGATACTCCTACTGCCACTACTTTGTCAGACTAGAAGAAGGTATATACATATTTTTGATGCCGCTTATTATTAACTTGATTTCAATGCGAATATTTCGATCGATTTTAGGTAAACCGCCCAAGAAATACTACGCAAGTGCCCCGAAGGAGCCACATGAAATGTTGGAGGACTGGATGACACATATGCGGAGACGAAAAGTCTTCAATTCAATATAAATATGTATTAGGAATAACAATGTAAAAATAAGTTGAAATACTGAAAAAAATACCGCCTAACTTAATTAACCTTTTCTATCGGTAATACTTACAATAGCAGTAGAGTTAAGTGCTACTAAATAGGTAAGTTAGCAACTCGGGCTTTGTCATTTCTCTTTTGTATTTCTGCACAATTTCTTGGATTTTAAGTCGTCGGCGTAAATGTGGGGGCTGGTAGCTAGAAAAAGTGTCATCTTACCAATAAATATTTCAATTTGTAAAGCTATAGCTGCCAGTCTAAGTGGCCATATACTATTAAATTTATATATTAAAACAAAGACTCGACCGAAAGCAGCACAGTGCCCCGTTCTCGAGCCAAAAATAAACATTTCTGCTGATCACTTACTTGTCCAAGTCCAATCTCTTCCGTCTTGCCATATTAAGACTAGTGTGCCTCACTAAGGAGCCTAAACTTCGGCGGCTTACAATCATACCATCCACAAGAGGTGAGGCCAGATTTACTCGTCCAGTGGATCCCTGTGTTAAAAAATGTAAACTTCCTTTTTATTCTTTTTTCCAGCAGCATATTACCGTGAAAAGGGCACGTTTCGCCAGTTTGCAATAAAAACGTGAGGAAACACCCGAATTTTGAAACAAAACACCCCAGTAAAAGGTTTTGCAATTTGCCCGCCTCAACCATATTTACGTTTATCACAACTGTATTTTTCTTTTGCTTACCTGCAGATGAATTCTAAATAGTCCAGTAGACAAAAATTGCAGATAAATAACCAAAACTTCGCTTGGTTTGATAGCCGAAGATTTCTCTAAGCCAGTGTTCATCGATTCCAAGAGATCCTCTGAAAATGTGTAATTAGAACTGAAATTTCTCCTCTCGGATAATTTGCAAAAATAAACCTATAGGCAAGTTTAGATGGTCCTCGAAACTCTCGAGCCAAACAAGCATTATTTTCGTGTTGGTATCGGACTGAATGTTGGATTTATTTCCGCGTTTTGGAGGAATTGGGTGTTTGTCCAGTTCGGAGTTGTCGGCTCTTTTTGGTGCTTCCGCCCAAGAACTTTCATTCCAGGCTAAAAGCAATGTTAAAAACTAGCCGGAATTGCGAACTGGCAGACATACACGAGAGAGTGTTGGTGTTAAATTTCCTCTGCATATCGCTCTGTTTGAGACTGGATGGAACCACAAAAGCAATTTCGGAACATGCATCTGCCCAATATAATACGTGAGTGGTTCCATCGTATGACTTCTGAGCGCTGCTATCAGTGGCTGGCGATGCCCCAACTGTGGCTTCCCATGAAGTAGATATGTGGCCAGTCCAGCCTAGTGTTAATAACAATAGATTGTTCATAAGAACAGATAAATTTATTCTTACCGGGGTGTTTTTCAACATCTACAGCCCATCCTAAAGAATATATGAACTCGAAGAAATACGGTGAAATTACACTGGGATTTAGCATATTTCCGACAATCTCTCGCGCGTTAGTCTGCTGCGCTCTTACGTAGAATATGTGAACAGTGTCGCATGTTCTGGGGCTCATTTGATCCAGGATTTGGAGGTCTTTGCAGAATTCTGTTGCGCTACTGTCCAGGGCTACCAAACCGGATGTTGAGTGTTCATTTTCCTGTAATGTTTCTTCATAATAAACCCAATAATCCCATATTAAACAATCAATTACTTCTTCATCAAAAGTTAGAAGTCCAAAGTGGCTCAAGAAAAGCCGAGCAGTTTGAAACTCATGGCATACAGGCGGCGGAATGCATTCCTCAGAGGCGTGGTTTTGCATTTTGTGCAGATTTGATTCGACACTGCTTTGCCTATTCAACAGCTGGCTGATTAGATTTGATTCATCTTTCAACGATGCGTTGTTCTCCAACAGAGTTTCCAAAGTCGGAATCGACTCATCCCTGCAACAATCCAGTTTAATCTCAAGTGAAAATAGGGTAAGGTGAAAGTAGCTAACACTTGACAATGCTGCACTCGGTCCACATTATCGGGAAAATATTTTTGCTTCACTGGGGGTCTAACGGGTGCGTCTTGCATGGCCACTGGTCTACATGCGTTCGAAGAGTAGGATTTCACACCCGATTTGTGACGCGGAAGGTGTCTTAGTTGCATTGTCCATGCGTGTCTTCCAAAAGGCCCGCGAATCAAAATAGTTACTGTGGGTTGAGGATCCTGATGTGAACAACAATAAAGTTTGTAAAGCACTGCTAAGCTCATGCTAAACTGGGCGCTAACCTGGTCGTTTCCCAGAGGTTCTTCTAGAAGAGCCAGCATGACTGATCCTTCCGTTACAAAGTACCTGAATTTTTCCACGGCGCTGCTCAGATCTTTGTAGGTTGCGTTAGAGGAACTGCATTGCCTGAAGCCAACAATTTTGGGTTTTGTTTTTTTACTTGCTTTTACCACACATACCTCAAGAGGGAAATTTCATTCAACAACGAACTGATGGATTCAGGCCCGCAGTGGTTGGGAAAGTAGGCGACTTGCTCCAAAATGCAAGTGAGCAAATTCTCGGCAGCATCTCTTACTCTCATCGAAGCAGGTTTGAGTTCTTTTTCCTCTTTCATTTTAATCGGCTCGCCGGGTTTTCCCACTGATTTGCTTCCAGATACCCCCAGTTCCGAAACCTCCAATACCTTAAATTTTTTAATAGCAATGCGTCGATTAAAGTAAAACTTCGAGCTTATTTACGGTGGTCAAGCAGTCTTTGTCCTTCAGTAAGTAGGGGTGTTCACACAGCCACACTGAACAGCAGTGAAAAGCAGCCACAATTGTAGAGTGCAGATCTTTTGAATGGGCTGGAGGCGGCCTGGAACACTGATGAACGATGTAGTCGCATAGCCATTTTACTGCTCTTTTGCATTCCATTGCATCTGAAATTTATTGGATATTATTATTTATTTTTCGGGAAACTTGTGAAATTCATCACAAACTGATTAATAGTATAAGTGAGATTTTTTTTTATTTCAGCCGTTTCAAGTTCCGATTTTCTCAATTGAAAACAAATAGAAGTTGAAGTACTTTTGTTTCAATTTTGAAAACTTGAGTTCACGTTCACTTGCTCTAACAAACTCGATGTTTTCTTTATGCAATTACTCAATAATAAACATTGCTTTTATTATTTCTCCTCTCAATTAGTAACAATTTCTTCTTCAAATTTCCAGCAATTACTGTTCGACGAATGCTTGTTCAACAATGAACAACCACAGTCAAAATAATTTCAATTACCTGTACGTTTCCTGGCTGCATTTATGTTAAAACATAAATCAAATATATCAAAAACAAGACCAATTATATTCAATTCAAGAACAATTCTAGCAAAAATGTGCGAGCAAACTTACCAGATTCCTTGATATGAATCCTGGCCAAACCAGACAAAAGTTCCAACGCAGCTAAGGAAATATTCAGATCAGTTTTCCAGGACGAGATGAGCCTGTGACACACAAGATAGATTGCTCGACCGAAAAGAACATGGATTGAATCTGAAAAAATCTTCAAAAGTAAAAAGCCATACTATCAAAATCATTATAACAGCAAAAAATTACAAAGCTGCACTAATTTTTAGTGCATTTTAGAAAATAATTAGTTTAGAATTAGCATGCAAAATTACCTAAAGGGGCATCATGAATTTCGGAAGTGGATCGACGATCAGGAGTCAAAGAACGGTCGCTGCTAGCCATGCTTATTGTACTGGCAGTGTCTGAAGCTATAAGCCAGAAACATATATTGAGCTAATGCAGATATTCAATTTCCTGCAGAAGCTCTATACATATTTGCAAAGAGTAATCAAATAAAATAACAAGGTGTCTGAAAACTTATCGAGCAAATGTGTATGAGATATTAAAGTAGGTCGCTTTGTTTTTAAATTTCCAAAACAAATAATATTTAAGCAGTGCTTTAAAATAGAGCAAATAGTTTCTCATCCATTAATTAGCAAAAGTATGAAGTCATTGGATGCCCAAAAAGGATCATATTGGAGGTAAATCACCTTTTAACTTGTACAGAAACTTCAGTTTCAAAACCTTCTCTTAGACGTTTTTATCAATATCTATTTTCTCAAGAACAAATTTAATAAATTTGCAAGAGTAAAAATACTTTTATACGCATAAAACGATCTGTATAATCTAACTATTATTAAGCATTCAGATACAGCAACAGCTCATAGTTTATAACGTACAATATTTACTATTTTTCGAAGGCAGTTTCAGATTGGTTTTTTCAAAATTTCTTAACACAAATCGACTAAATTTAAAATCAAAACACCCCGTCTGATTCAAACAGTAAATTTTGTGAAAATGCAAAAGTGCGTTCCAATCTTAGCTAAAAACAGTCCAAGCGATAAAAAAAAACTCAAGCAAATTTACCACTGCTCAATAGATTCGATGGAACTTCGGTTACTGACTGAGTGATCTGCTCCGCACTCTCATACAAGGCAGAGTCTTGGACGCACAACAATAGTCCTCCAAGTAGCATATGAGTGTTTTGTGGATCATATTCCACATGTAGGGCGTTCATCAGAAGGTTCATTAGTTTAGACTTTAGCATGGCGAAGTTCACAATTTTTTCGCTGGATCCTGAGGAGAAATAAACAAAAATCTTGCAAACTCAACCAAAATCCTAAATTGGTTTACCAGTGTTGTATAATTCCTTTATGGGGCAATTTTGGAAATGCAAAGGCAGCACTAGAATGGAGAGTAGCACATGTATTGCAGCTCTCCTTAACTCAACTTTGTTCACATTAGAGCCCAGTTTCAAATCTTTATCTGGCAACACAATTTCCAACGCCGATATGTATGCAGGAATTAAGCTCCTGAAGAACGTTTAATTTTATATCAACTTAGCTCATATTAGAGCTAGATAAATACCTAACGCCGTCCAAATCCAGGCTGAATATATTAGAGGAGTTCATTAAAATGGCCACCATGCATTCTCCACACTCTCTAGAGCTGGAGTTTGATTTTAAACCTTGTGTAACAGCCAGATAAAAGCTAAAATCCAATTGATTTGCACATCGATCCTCTACAATTCCAGCAGCTAACTTACCGAGCTAAATATACAGGCAAAATTTCTTCTCCGGTTTTTTTCGAACAAAATATTCTACACAAAGTACCCAAAGCCTCGGCCTTTCCACTTTCATACTTGTCGATGGTCAAACCTGGAGGAAGTTCCGTATCGGATAAAGAGCTGGGCTGGGAGTAGCTCAGGGAACTTTTACCACTCTCAATCACCATGGAATTGGGGCGCTTAAAGGAACCACTGGCCTGACCTAATGGGTGAAAAAAATAAGTAAAAAGTAGAAATTGAGTAAAATGTTGAAGTTGCTAGATTTCTGATAAAGCGCGTTCGAAAATATGTAGTTTTCACAGTACAGAAAACATCGTAAGTAAAATATCTGTTTTGGCCAAAACAACTCATCTTGTCCATTATTTGAAATTGAAATATTATTATTCTTAGGTTTAACTACTTTTTCCAAATTCTCCATTAAAATACTCACGGCTATGTTGCCCTTGTATATCACACCCAATAAAGGCTGCTTCAAAAAACCACTCCCCAAATAGATGTAAAATGGTATTACACTTCGGTCTTCCGGGCGCTAAAGTTGCTTTAGCTTCAACTCCAAACGAATTCATGGCTAGACATTAGAAAAGTTATTTTTCGAAATAAAATTTATAGAAGCTTTACTAACACGAAACACTTCCAGCAGAAGGTGGCCCGCTATTTGGGGCGCTGGTGGTTACCACTGATGTTCTGCTGGTGGTAAGGCCTATTAATGAAGACCTCGGAATACCTGCAGATGTATTACGTAAAGGAAATCGTTTTTGGAATGTAAAATACTAAATGAATACTTATACAAACCCGATGCATCAATACATAGTGAGAACACATGGGATGGAACAAATTCATTTGATTTTGACCATTCTGTTAAATTCTGCTTTAAACTTTACATATTCTTCATTTACATGGATGGTCTTGGATGGACATTTAGAAGAATATTTAAATACCGAATGATTTCTAGATAATTGTTGGGTTGCGTTTATTATGATTTTCATGTAAATAGAGCCAAATATTCAACTTGCTGTCAAAACTTTTTCATTATTATTTTTCCAACCACCTAAAAGCTCCTGATAACACAGGATTGAACTTTTTGCTCATTTACAACAAAATTGACCAAAATCAACTCAAGACTCTCAAAAATATTTTTTTTGCAAAATGGATTTTTCTATTTGAATAAGAAAAGGCGATGATGGTTTCGTATTTTTGAACCACTCTGTACAAGTGAATAAACTATCAGAAAATTGACCCGCCTGAGCGGTTTTCCATTAAACAAAGCTCTTGAAATTTAGATTAATTTATTTCAACCGACGCGCTCTACTAAATTTTCAAGTTTGGCAAATCATAGATGCAATATGAAGAGACTAAAAGAAAAAGACGAGAAAGATGATGTAAGAAAAGTTGTGCAAGTACAAGCATAAGTGTAAATTAGAGAAATTATTCAGCCTGCATAAAATTTTGCTCTGATTAGTAAAAAGTTGGATTCATTCCTGTTCCTTATAAAAAAAAGAGTACAAGATATGAGCTATTCTTGCAGGGTGTCCAGTTAAAGGCACTAAATACTTTCCAATCTGGGGTTCTCAGTTTTTGTAACGCAAAAAAAGAAAATTACTGAGGGAAATTTGCGTTGCTCCACATTAGTACAGACACCCTGCATAATTAATGGAGAAACAAGATAAAGTATAGAAAGCACTCTAACCCTTGGAACTAGAAGATTGTGCAACGCTAAAACTTTTAGCCAGCCTTCGCTGGGTGGGAGGAGTGGGCGAGTGCGTCATAATTGGAGGGGGCGCCTCGCCACGTGTCTTTTCTGTGCTGGTACCCATCACCATGGTGTCCCACCAGATCGGTTGTGCGATGCCTGATGACAGACAATATTATGTCTACACTCGATATAGTGATTATATCGGTGCTTGTAGTTGCTCTTTTTTGTATGCTGCATACATATTTTGGACAAAGAATGAATAAAATTAGTCAACTAACGAACGATTGAGCGAGGATGTTTAAATTTAGTAAGAAAGATATGTTTAGAAACAATCTACACATCAAATTGGATTGGAAACTACTACAAACACAGACGCGGTTTTGTCGGTTAGAAGCTACCAACCGAGAAAGGCGTCAACTTGACCAGCAATTCCCTTGATGGCTTTCAAGAAAATCACCGGTAGCAGTTGGAGGCAGGGATGTTGGCATGGATCGACCACACCGTCAGTACTAATGGCAAACTGGAGGAATTTTTGCGTCTGACTTATCACCTGAAAATAAACCAGTTTTTTGGGAAATGACACATCATATTAACCCTCACCTCCGGCTTGGTTAAACTAACAGGATTTCCGATAGTATTAAGAAACCTGTACCAACTCTGCGCGATGCAATCATTGGACATCTTCTTCGGAATCAGGTCCTCTTCCCCTGCTCAAATTCCAAAAAATCTCTCACTTACAAGTAGATCAGATACCAAATGATCTTCTACCTATTTTCAATTCAGGAAAATTTGCTCCGTACATGAAAACTAGCACTTTCGACGTCAATGCCAGATTCACTCGATTCCACTGCTCTACTAGAGCCACTCGATGGCGCCAATTCATGCAGCATTCCCTCAGAGTTTTCCAAAGAGGTGGCGAAGGAAAACAGTCAGCGCACGCAATCAACCAAATCTGAGTTATTTTTTTAATAATGGACAAATGAAATAATGGATAAAAAATTGCAGAGCCGAAGTTCATAAAAGTACCTCAAATAAAACGCTCAACACGCGCTCGCAAAGTTGATCGGCTACATCGTCTTTTACAGTGGGAGGAGACAAAAGAATGTCATTGATAGTCAGTAGGAAGAGCAGGAGGGTTTCCCAAGTTTCTCTATCGAGGATTTTCGACTTGTGCGTAATATCTTGTAAAGTGCGCAACACTCGATGGCATAAAACGGCTTGTCGGTGAATCGTATCGGGCCCTGGAATCATTTCTAATTAAATTGCCGATTACAATGTTCATCTAGTATTTTTGATTCGTTCTCATTCCATGCAAAACATTAAGTGGCTAGATTTACACAAGATTCCTAAAGGCTAGCAAGGCTTTTCCCTAAAATTTTACCGGTTTTATTATAAATAATAACTTGTCCAGGCGTTCATCTAGGCATAAGCTGTATAAGTATAAGATGGCTCATTGGAGGAGGCAACCAAAGGCAGCAACGCTCAAGGAAGGGGAGCAATTGTTCATTTTATAATAGACTATGAGAGAAAAATGAAAAAGCAAGAAAAATACAGAGTGAATCAAAATTAGGTTGTAGTGAAGTTAGTAGCTATGTTAGTTAAGATGTAACTTAAGGTCCGTCCCTCAGGTTTTGTAATTTCCATTGTCTCGCTTTGTGATCACTTTTAATCACCCCATGTGTCTTGTGAAGAATTATTGATATTTTTTACCGATTTTAGCGAATCAAAAGTTATTAGAAAATAATGTTTGTTTCAATTACCTACGTCTATAAATAGTTAAAAAATGTAATAACCTGGGAATCACTCTGTATACATATATTGAATATAAGATTCCAGCTTTGAAGCCCTGTAGACATGCAAATATCCGAAAACAAAATTTTTCTTAGGAGGTTCAGGAGGTATTTGTCTGCCTTTTTCCTGCTGCCTGACCTTTAGGACACCTTGTAGTTTCTTAGATTTGGTCTAGCTGGGAGTCCCGATATAAAATAATTCATACATAAAACATGAAGATAATTCTCAAAATTGCTTAGATACAATTACACATGCTTTCAATCAAGTTTAAATCAGTACAAAAGAACAAAAACTACACTATAGTTTCCATACCCAGATCCTTATATAAAAAGGGCCAGTCTTTAATGGAAACCAGGCTGTTTTAGTAAAAAATTGATAATAAATTGCCAATTTAATTATTAGCGGTGTAGATCTGAAGTTAAGCGTGTTAATTACCTTCGCCTTTCCTTGGCACAAACAAATAATGCAAATGCGATATCATTTTCCTGGCATAACTGTTGGGATCTTCAGTAATGGGTCGAGGGACACAAATTTTTGGTTCAGGAAGTAGTGCAGTTAGCCATTCACAGTATACATTTGCACAATCCTTAATTGCATCATGTTCGACCAATGGAAGAGAGAGCCCAAAGCACAGTACTTCCATAGACCACTGTACCTTTAACCAAAATCAGGATGTCTCGATTTTTTTAGTTCAGTTTTTTGTCTGAATCCGACTTTCAGGCCAATAAAAATTGATAAAAATTAAATCCCACACTAGGACTATCGAATGCAATTATTTATAAGCTATAATCTCCAAAAAACAACACGATAAAAATAACAAAAATCTCCTACAAACATTAGTAAAATACATATTTTTTAATACCGTCGCTCAAAATTACATAGATATACACACAATGAGAATAAAAAAAACTGCATTCTTTTAGCAGATTCAAATACTCCACTCTCCTTATAGGTAAAAAACAATTCAAATACATTAACTATCGTTTTAAGGCCGAACGTTTGTCCACTAAAACTACCTTATATAGCGAACAACATTTCGATCTTTATCATTTAATGTACGAAGTAGTGAAGTAATAGAAACTCGCATTTTTACAAGGAACACCACTAATAATATGAATTTGCAAATTGTGTATTAAAGTGGTCAAGCGACTTCAAACGAGAGTGAACAAATCAGAGTTCAGTGGAGTACATTTCAAAATTATATAATTTCAAACAACTTTTGTTTTTGTTCTATGCTTGCAGATTTCTCCTGGGCCTAAATAATGCATAGTCTTCTTCCAATATTCTAAATGCATCAATTAAAATGAGAACTCACTCACTCACTACTCATTAAAATAATCATCAAATAAAATGAAGACCGGCTGACTAACGCAAACACTAAAATACAGCCCACATTGAATTTAATATGTATTTGTTTATATTAAAATAATGGCTCCATTTGTATTCCTGTCGAATAATTTGCATTAAAAGTTGCTATACGGCGCAAATTTCCAAACCACAAATGATTTAAGGCGGAACATCAGTATTTGTGTATCGGATGGGCGCCTATGTAAAGCAAAAACATATTTTAATGTTGACCCTTTTTCTTCGTATGTAACAGAACAGTAAGTTTGAAAGCTATTGGTTAGATTGCGTTCAACTACAATCCATGGGTGGTAATTCCGAGCAGAGTGGCGGCCAATAAGAGACAGTGATTTTGCGATTTGCTTATCTGTAGTGTTGCTCTTTTCAAAGGCGTTTTCTAAATAGCATGGCAAAGATCTAAGGTGGAGAAAAGCAAAAGGACATTTTGTGTAAATACATTTGTTATGAGCGTATATTGAAAGCAAGTAATGCATTTTAATGTAGACTGTTTTTATCGTTATGTAACAATATTTAGTAGGGATTTATTAGCGATTGGCTAAATGGCGTTCAACTACAGCCAATGCCGGCGAATGCGCATTTTTTCCGCCTTGTGTTTCCGTGAACGGTTTGATATATTGAGATTATGAGAAATAGTAAATTTGAATGAGTGAAAACTGGTCGAAAATCGCATTTGCATTAAAAACGCCTCTAAACAAAATTGTTAATTAAAATGTTATCTATAAGGGAGCACATTTTTAACGGCGCAGACCACGGCCTAATGTTCTGCAAGCACAAACTGCTCCAACTCGAACAATTGAGGAACGTAATTCATGTGCTCACCTCTCTGTCGGTGGTTAAAATACTTGGTTCTGGGGATTGAGTGATGCTTAAATTGCCTGCCAATTGCTTAACCAGACCAATGGTGATTTCCTTGCTGATTGGCAAGTCAAACTTTTCCAACACACTTTGCCCTTCTGATTCCCCATCTTGAGCCACCAAGTTTAGCGATGTCCATTCTCCGTACATCCCCTTATTTTCACCGCTTTCCTGCATGAATTAAATGAGGACACGAATAAACCAAAGTGAAATAGTCTTGGACAAGTCGCTACCTTGAGGTTCATACGATTAAACAGTCCCAAATTCATAGGCGGGCTTTTAGAGTGGAAAATAACGGTACACGAAGAGATTACACCGATAGAATTATTAATTGCAGGTAGTTATTAGTAATTAAATCCATAACCAATCAAGTAAACAATGAGAAATAGTCAACAATTACACAACTTGATTGTCAAAAACAGCTGTGTTTATCCATGACCAGAGACAAGTACTTGTCTCTGCCATGACTTCAACTCACAGACATACAGCGATGCCAGGTCTATCGACTTTTGGGTAGATCTACCGATTGGCCAAGGAATCTACCGACTACCGATACCATGCAGATTTCCACTGAAAAGTAACAAATAAAAGTTTAAAAATTTACCTTGGATTACTTAAAAGAATATAACACATTTCCATCCATGATCAAAGTACGTTGGTAAAAGTAGATATTTTATTTTAGAACACCTAACCTTGTTTATGGGTTTATCATGGACAAGATGTCTGTCGATGTTGATTATCCGCTATCATCCAAAGAAAAAGCCTATGCCGATTTTATTCATTTCTGACGATATAATCTGTAAGTTGTATGATTTCGTGCCTCATGCTTCCTGCACATACTGGATTGTGATATGTTTCTCCATGTTCTCTAATACGTAATTTGTGAATGTTTTGTTGGGTAAGTCGAAATCACTTAGCTTATTATTCAGGTGGCATTTTCATCAAGAAACAAATAAATGGAAAAC